GGCTATTATTAACACAGCACATTTAATGGATTCTTTCAAATGGTCATAGCATTTTATAAGTAGTTCTCTATTCAGTGCAGCACAAAGAATATCGTCCATATAATGAATAATATAACACTGAGGAAATTCTTTTCTGGTGGGCTCAGTAGCTTAGCCCATGTAAGTTTGACAAATTGTGGGAATGTTTAACATCCCTTGAGGAAGCACTTTCCAATGATATCTTTTAGCAGGTTTTTGATTATTTCTAGAAGGAATAGGGAATGCAAATCGCTCACAGTCCTTTTCTGCCAAAGGAATTGTAAAGAAACAGTCCTTTGGGCCAGGTGCAGTGGCTCACGCCTGTAATCCCAGCACTTTGGGAGGCCAAGGCAGATGGATCACGAGGTCAAGAGATCGAGGCCAACGTGGTGAAACCCAGTCTCAACTAAAAATACAAAAATTAGCCGGGTGTGTTGGAGGACACTTGTAGTCCCAGCCACTTGGGAGGCTGAGGCAGAAGAATCACTTGAACCCGGGAGGCGGAGGTTGCAGTGTGCCAAGATAGTGCCACTGCACTCCAGCCTGTCGACAGAGTGAGACTCCATCTCAAAAAAAAAAAAAAAAAAAAAGAAACAGTCCTTCAAATCAATAACAATTAGTTGCCAATTTTTTGAAATCATAGTGGATGAAGGTAGTCTAGGTTGCAGGGCTCCCATAGGTTGTATAGCTGCATTAATTGCTCTAAGATCTGTTACCATTCTCCATTTTCCAGATCTCTTTTTATTACAAAAACAGGAGAGTTTCAAGGTGAAAATGTGGAGGCTCTATGTCCCTTTTCTAATTGCTCAGCAACTCAGTTTTCTAAAGCCTCCAGTTTTTCCTTTGTAAGCGGCCATTGTTCTATCTAAATTGGTTTTATCATTTAACCATTTTAAAGCTATTGGTTCTGGAGGCTTAACAGTGGCCGCCATTAAAAATGATATCCTAGACCATGTCTAGAGTTTTGTTCCTTTACTTCTAAAGGTTCCTTTGGGCCCTGCAAATTTTTTCCTGATCTCATCCTAGGCACATAGCCCATGTCCTGCATCATTTGTTGACTTTGAGAGCTACACGATTGTTTTGGTATTAAAACTTTGACTCCCCACTGCTGTAATAAGTCTCTTCCCCACAAGTTAATAGGAATCTGAGTTGCAATAGGCTGAATAGTTCCAGGCTATCCTTCAGGCCCTTCACATGGCAAGATAAGACTGCTTTGAGAAATCTCTGAGGCCTGCCCAACTCCTACCACATTAAACTCAGCATTTTGTACAGGCCAAGAAGAGGGCCAGTGCTGGAAAGAAATCATTGAAACATCTGTGCCAGTATCAAATAAACCTTTAAATTTTTTTCCTTGGATAGTAACTTCACATGTTGGACATTTATCTGTAGTTTGATTTACTCAGTATGTAGCTTTGCCCTGTTTATTTGTACTTCCAAATCATCCAATTCTTTTATTATCACTATGACCTAATTTTATACAAGGTAAGTTTAAGAGTTGTGCTATGCATTCTCTAGGCTCAGCACTCCAAGGAATGGAAGATCACATTATAATTTGTATTTCCCCTGTAAAATCACTATCAATAACTCTGGTATGAACTCTCCTTTAGCATTCAGACTACATCTTCCTAAAAGCAAATGAAGTCCCAGAAGGTAATGGCCCACAGACTCCTGTTGGTATTTTTTTGTGGAGGTTCCCTAGGTAAAATACCTATTTTTTGAGTGCTGCACAGATCTACTGCTGCACTTCCAGCAGTGGCAGGGGACAAGCCTGGTACAGGGATGAGAGAGTAGCTTGAACAAGATAAACCCTGGTTGGAATCGGGGCCAGGGGAAGGCCCCTTCTCCCATTTCCTGAAATTGGATTGCCTTCTTTGTCAAATTTAGAATGACATTACTTAGCCCAGTGTTTTCCTTTTTTATATTTTGGGCAAATGCCTGGGTCAGCATTTTTTGTTTTTACCTTTGGCTGAGGTCCTGCTCTTAAATGTTGTCTGCAATCCTTTTTTGTATGTCCCCTTTTTCTGCAATTAAAACAAGCTCTGGGAAATGCAGCAGCCCCCTTGTTTACCTGTAATCCTGCCATAGCTTGTGCTAATAAAGTAGCCTTATGCTGATTTCCTCCAATGCCATGATAAACCTTAATATAATAAACTAAATGAACCTTTCCTTTTTTTTTTTTTTTTTGAGACGGAGTTTCACTCTTGTTACCCAGGCTGGAGTGCAATGGCGCGATCTCGGCTCACCGCAACCTCCACCTCCTGGGTTCAGGCAATTCTCCTGCCTCAGCCTCCTGAGTAGCTGGGATTACAGGCACGCGCCACCATGCCCAGCTAATTTTTTGTACTTTTAGTAGAGACGGGGTTTCACCATGTTGACCAGGATGGTCTCGATCTCTCGACCTCGTGATCCACCCGCCTCGGCCTCCCAAAGTGCTGGGATTACAGGCTTGAGCCACCGCACCCGGCCGAACCTTTCCTTTAAGTGGCGGTATAGCAGCCTGACATTCTGCATTAGCATCATCGAATGCTAGCAGGCATAACACTATGTCCTGGGCTTTAGTGTCTGCAATTGCCTTTCTTACTACCTCTTGTAATCTGGCTATGAAATCTGCATACAGCTCTTTTGGCCCCTGCTTAACCGCTCCAAAAGATGGAAATCTTTCACCTCCTTAAGAAATTTTGTCCCAAGCTGGTAGGCACACTTTTCTCAATTGTTCTATGTCCTGATATTCCATGATTGCTTGATGGTTTAATTGAGCCTAGGCACCAATTCCTGTGAGCCGTTCTACGGTAATATTAATTAGAGGTTGGGTGCTAGCATTTATTTGAGCTTGGATATTAGTCCCATCTGCCCACCATGTTTTCAATTGTAAAAACTAGGGTGGGGATAGGCAAGCTCTAGTCAACGCGTCCCAATCAATAGGAATTAGCCTATGGGAAATGACTATGTTCTGTAACAGTCCCGTTACAAACAGGGATCCTGGGCCATATTAGCTAATTGCTTGTTTAAATTTCTTTAGGAGTTTAAATGGAAAAGGCTCAAATGTTACCTGAAACTGTCCTTGTTGACTTGAGAAGTGTATTGTAACAGGAAACTGCCCTGACTCTAAATCTCCATCCTTATGAGCCTGCTGAATTCCAGCCTGAATAGACCCAATTACTGCTGTTGTGGAAGGCTTATATACAGCCACCGGAGTGGCAAGTTTCGCTTTTGAAACAACTTCTAAGTCTTCCAACTGGGGAATATGACGCGGGTCTGGCCATTCTTCAGTAGAATACTGAGGAGGAGCGGACAGATAGACTCTTTCCTCTTCCTCACCTAATTTTTCACTCTTCTGATCTGAACTGTCTTTCATTTCCTCCTTCCAATTTTACATTCCCCTTCTCCCTCTGAGTCTTCCTCCTCCTCATCCGTTTGAAATGGTTCTAGGGCGGAACGCACCATTGCCCAAACTGACCATATTGGAATGGGAATATCCTCAGCTCCTTCTTTGTATGCCTTTTTTAGAATAGAACCCACTTTTCCCCATACTTCTATGTCTGCAGTTCCCTGCTCAGGGAACCAAGGACAATATTTCTCTGCAGCATCAAAAAGCTGTGTCAATTGGCTGGTACTAACTTTAACTCCCCCTCTTCTAAGTAAGTGCTGAAGCAAACTGAGATGAGCTTCTCCTTTACTTGAACCTTGTCCTGTTTTTGCCCTGATGCTTCCAAACTCCCCCTAACTTAACCGGAAGATTTTTTGAAGAGTTCTTGGGTGTCCTTCAGTGTAGATTAGCTTCTCCTTTTCTCTGTTGCTCAGGTGACCCTTTGTCCTGGGTTTGATCCCCATGGATGGGTGCCACTTGCCAAGACCAGTTTGGTCATAGAGACCCCAACCCAGGTGGCACTGAAGGAATAAGAGTCAGACACAGAGAGAGTACAAAGGTGGGCTCAGGGGCCTGACAGTATTCCCAGCTGAGAGCCAAGAGCAGACTCTGATGCACATATTTGTTCTTTACATTCCAGTGATAAGTTTAATAAGCTGATGCTGTGTGTTCATTCATAGATTAAGGGTAAACTAACCAGGCAGCTAGTGTATTTTCACTGTAGGTTAAAGATAAACTAGAAAGCATTCTTTACGAGGGAACAATGGAGGCAGAGTTACATATCCTGTGTTTAAAGAACTAGTTCATCTGGTGTGAGACATATTTATATTATTTACTGTCTTAGAATGCCCTGAGCAGTTTTCAGCTTGGGGGCTGGCTCAGTTTTCCTTGCTGTCACTCTCAGTAAACAGTAAAACCCCTCTCACACGCCTGGACTTGTTATCAGCACCTATCTATGATTTTTTATTTCCTTGAGATATCAAGATATCAAGAGATTCTAGAAAGGAAACATACTGGGTTAAAGGGATGCAGAATACATTTATTATAAAGCAGATCCCTGACTTTACTGATTTTGTTGAAGACTCCTGGAGAGTAGTCTCGACCTTCAGATATTCCCATCACACTGCTCCAGCACGTCTACCTTGGGTGGTCATGTTACTTGGAAAAGGAAGTCACATGTGTATTTAATGTGGATCATGTTTTCCTGGAATGCCCTGGCATGCAGGGTCTCTTAAACTTTTTGAAGTTGTGGAATCTTTATATGAAAAATAAATCATGGCCTTTAATCACTGGCATAGGTTTAAAGATTTATATCTGACAGAAATATTGCTTCATCATACAGCCTTGGCCAGATGGAATTGTTTTCTGTTAACTGATAATTTCTTTACTTCCCTACCTCTGCATTATGTAAAGAAAGTGCACATATATTCTTTGTTTTTAGGCTTTGTTGCAGAGTAAATGATGGTTAGTGTTAAAACTGTTTCTAAGATATGTACTGTCCTGCACATGTTGTATGCTAGGCAAAGGAATAATATTGAAAAAATCCATAGTGTAGTATTATGTTGTATTGCAGCACCGTAATTCTCCATATTAAAATTTTTGTTTTTCTATTCAGGTGACTCTACCTGTGGGCAGAGGGCTATCTATCACAGTTTGGGAATGACTGGAATTCCTATAATCAATGTCAACAATAACTGTTCTACTGGTTCTACTGCTTTGTTTATAGCCCGCCAGCTGATTCAAGGTGGTAAGGAGCTTGTCTAGGGTACTTTAGTAAGTGTGGGATTATTGCCCCATTTTATTTAATCACATGATCGTCAGAGGAATTGTTTTATAATGTATTTATTTTAAAAAAGGCTGTATCAGGCTGGGTGTGGTGCCTTACGCCTGTAATCCCAGCACTTTGGGAGGCCGAGGCAGGTGGATTGTTTGAGCTCTTGAGTTCAAGACCAGCCTGGGCAACGTAACGAAACCCTGTCTCTACAAAAAATACAAAAATTTGCCAAGTGTGGTGGCATGCACCTGTAGTTCCAGCTACCTAAGAGGCTGAGGTGTGAGGATGGCTTGAGCCTGGGAGACGGAGATTGCAGTGAGCCAAGATGGCACCACTGCACTCCAGCTTGGGTGATAGAGCCAAACCTTGTCTCAACCCCCACCCCCCCTCAAAAGGCTTTATCAGCCAGACGTGGTGGCTCACACCAGTAATCCCAACACTTTGGGGGGCCAAGGCAAGAACATCACTTGAGCCCAGGAGATCAAGACCAGCCTGAGCAATGTAGTTAGACTCTGTCTACACAAAATTAAAAAAATTAGCCAGAGGAGGCCGGGCGTGGTGGCTCAAGCCTGTAATCCCAGCACTTTGGGAGGCTGAGGCAGGTGGGTCACGAGGTCAAGAGATCGAGACCATCCTGGTCAACATGGTGAAACCTCGTCTCTACTAAAAATACAAAACACTAGCTGGGCATGGTGGTGCGTGCTTGTAATCCCAGCTACTCAGGAGGCTGAGGCAGGAGAATTGCCTGAACCCAGGAGGCGGAGGTTGTGGTGAGCCGAGATCGCGCCATTGCACTCCACCCTGGGTAACAAGAGTGAAACTCCGTATCAAAAAAAAAAATAAATAAATAAAAAATAAAAAAATTAGCCAGGTGTGGTGGCACGTGTCCCAGCTACTTGGGAAGCTGAGGCTGGAGGATCTATGAATGTACCATTGCATGCTACCCTGGGCAACAAAGTGAAAATCTGTCTCTAAAACAACACAATTAATTAATTAAAGTAAAAGAAAATTAAAAAGGCATTGCGAGGTATAATTTATAGATTATAAAACTCAACCCTTTTAAAGTGTACCATTCACTGTTTTTTTACATATTCACAGAATTATATACCTATCACCACTATGTAATATTAGAACTTTTTTTTTTTTGAGAGGAAGTCTCACTGTCTTGCCCAGACTGGAGTATAGTAGTATGATCCGGGTTCACTGAAACCTCCACCTCCCAGGTTCAAGTGATTCTACTGTCTCAGCCTCCTGAGTAGTTGTGATTACAGGTACCTACCACCATGTCTGGCTAATTTTTTGTTTTTTAATAGAGGCAGGGTTTCACCATGTTAGCCAGGCTGGTCTCAAACTCCTGACCTCAAGTGATCTGCCTGCCTTGGCCTCCCAAAGTGCTGGGGTTACAGGTGTGAGCCACTATACCTGGTCGTATTAGAACATTTTTATCACCACAAAAAGAAACCCTGTGCCCATTAGCAGTCATTCTCCATTTTCTCCTCCCTCAGTCCCTAGAAACCACTAATTTACTTTTGCTCTTTATGAGTTTTTTTGTATTCTGAATATTTATGTAAATGGAATCATACAATACATGGCCTTTTGTGGTTTATTTCACTTAACACAATGTTTTCAAAGTTTATTCATGTTGTAACATATATCAGTACTTCATTCCTTTTCATGGCCAAGTAATATTCCATTGTATGGATATATGATATTAAAAAATAGATGGACTATTTTTTAAATGTACAAGAAAAATAAAAAATAAATAAAATAAATAGAAATGAGGTCTTGCTATGTTGCCCAGGTTGGTCTTAAATGAATGGCTTTAAGTGATCTTCCTGCTTTGGCCCCTCAAAGTCAAAGTGCTAGGATGGCTATACCACATTTCTTCTACCTGTTTATCAGTTGATGGACATTGTTGTTTGCATTTTTTTGGTTGTTGTTTCCATCAGTTGATGGGTTGTTTCTATTTCTTGGCTGTTACGAATAATGCTGCCATAGTGGGCATGGTGGCTGACACCCGTAATCCTAGTGCTTCTTGTGAGGCTGAGGCGAGAGGATCGCTTGAGTCCAGGAGATTGAGGCTGCGGTTTGCTATGATTGTGTCATTACACTCCAGACTGGGAAACAGAGCAAGACACCATCTTTTAAAAATGTGGGAGAGGGGGTGGGGGAGATGCCATTGTAAACATTGTGTATACTTTTTTTTGGCTGCATGTTTTCAGTTTTTTTGTATGTGTATCATATCCTATGTTTCCATATATTCTAGGGTTTTTTAAATTAGGTCCTCTCTGTTCCACTGATTTGATTGTTAATGACTATTTCAGTACCCACTGTTTTTTTTTTTTTTTTTTTTTTTTTTTTTGAGACGGAGTTTCGCTCTTGTTACCCAGGCTGGAGTGCAATGGCGCGATCTCGGCTCACCGCAACCTCCGCCTCCTGGGTTCAAGCAATTCTCCTGCCTCAGCCTCCTGAGTAGCTGGGACTACAGGCACGCGCCACCATACCCAGCTAATTTTTTGTATTTTTAGTAGGGACAGGGTTTCACCATGTTGACCGGGATGGTCTCGATCTCTTGACCTTGTGATCCACCCGCCTCGGCCTCCCAAAGTGCTGGGATTACAGGCTTGAGCCACCGCGCCCGGCCCAGTACCCACTGTTTTAATTTTTTTTTTTTTTTTGAGATGGGGTCTTGCTCTGTTGCCAGACTGGCGTGCAGACGTTGGTTCACTGTAAACTCCCCTACCAGGTTCAAGCCATTCCCCTGCCTCAGACTCCTGAGTAGCTGGGATTACAGGAGCCTGCCACCACGCCTGGCTAATTTTTTATATTTTAGTAGAGATGGGGTTTCACAATGTTGGCCAGGATTGTCTTGATCTCCTGACCTCATGATCTGCCCACTATGGCTTCCCAAAGTGCTGGGATTACAGGTATGAGCCACTGTACCCAGCCCCAGCGTTTTAATTGCTGGAACTTTATATTGTTTGATAATACTAGTGGTTCCTGTTTCTGTTACATTATATTTCTTTTAATTTTTAAAGAAAAATATGGCCATTCTGTCTTTTTTTAAAATACAGCTCCTGCAGGAATGTCTGGCTCCTCAGCTGAACTTTAACATCATTTTTAGGTGCCCCCTCTCTCCAAAAATAATTCTTTTGAGATATTCTTTGGGTTTGTTTTTTAATTTTTAATTTCAAATTTTAAATTTTTTCTAAATATGATTCTAAATTAGCTTTTTATATTCATTACTGAAACATATTTCTACATTAATACAAAATTTTATTAACATATTGAGACGCAAGGGAAGAATTAAGCACCTAATTGATTTTTCCTCATTTCTTTTTTTAGACAGGGCCTCACTCTCTCACCCAGGCTGTAGTATAGTAGTATGATCTCAGCTCCTGCAACCAGTGCCTCTCTGCCTCAGGTGCTCCTCCCACCTCAACCTCCTAAGTATTAATAGCTGGGATCATAGGCATGCACCACCACACCTGACTAATTTTTGTATATTTTGTAGAGATGAGGTCTTACCATGTTGCCCAGACTGGTGTCAAACTCCTGGGCTTGAGCAATCCTCCCACCTTGGCCCCGCAAAGTGTTGGCATTACAGGTGTGAATCGCTGCACCCGTCCTGATTTTTTCTCTTATCTAGAAAAATATAAGCATTTTCTCTGTAATTTCTCTGTTATTAAAAGCTTTGGCTAGGTGGTGGCTTATATCTGTAATCTTAGCATTTTGGGAGCCTGAGATAGGTGGATCACTTGAGCCCAGGAATTTGAGGCCAGGCTGGGCAACATGGTGAGACCTCCATCTCTCCAAAAAAAAAAAAAAAAAGGGCGGGGGGGGGGGGCAAGAAAACTGGTCACGGTGCCACAGGCCTGTGGTCTCAGCTACATGCAAGGCTGAGGCAGGAGGATTGCTTGAGCCCAGGAGGTCTAGGCTTCAATGAGCCATGATTGCACTATGCACTTCAGCTTGGGTGACAGAAGTGAGCTGCTATCTTAAAAAAAAGAAACAAAAACAAAAACAAAACGAAAATCCAAAAAAACCTTTGTAGTGCCCAGCACAGTGGCTCACATCTGTAATCCTAACACTTGGGGAGGCGGGGGTTGACAGATCACTTGAGCCCAGGATTTCAAGACCAGCTTGAGCAGCATGGCAAAACTCTGTCTCTACAAAAAATACAAAAATCAGCTGAATGGAGTGGCACAGTCCTGTAGTCTCAGCTAATAGAGAGCTGAGGTGGGAGAATCGCTTGAGCCTGGGAGGTGGAAGCTGCAGTGAGCTGTGATCCTGCCACTATACTCCAGCCTTGGTGACAGACTAAAACTTTGTATCAAAAAAAAAAAGCAAACAAACAACAACAACAACAAAAAACCTTTGTGGGATTATAGTATGTATTTGCAATTTATGTAAATTGGCTTATTTATTTAGATACAGAACTTCTGGGCTCAAGTGACCTCCTGCCTCAGCCTCCCAAGTCACTAGGACCACAGGTGTGTACCACCACACTCAGCTAATTTTTCATTTTAATTTTTAAAATTTTTGTGGAGACAAAGTCTTACTATGTTGCTCTGGCTGGTCTTGATCTCCTGGCCTTAAGCAGTCCATCTGCTTTGATCTCCCAAACTGATGGGATGATAGGTGTGAGCCACTGTGCACTCATTTGATGTACTTATTTTATTTTATTTTTTTTGAGACGGAGTTTCACTCTTGTTACCCAGGCTGGAGTGCAATGGCACGATCTCGGCTCACCTGCAACCTCCGCCTCCTGGGTTCAGGCAATTCTCCTGCCTCAGCCTCCTGAGTAGCTGGGATTACAGGCACGCGCCACCACGCCCAGCTAATGTTTTGTATTTTTAGTAGAGGCGGGGTTTCACCATGTTGACCAGGATGGTCTCCATCTCTCGACCTCGTGATCCACCCGCCTCGGCCTCCCAAAGTGCTGGGATTACAGGCTTGAGCCACCGTGCCCGACCTGATGTACTTATTTAAATAGAAGTATTTAATGGTATTTTGAAGCTGTTTGGAAATTTGAATTTTCCAAAATAATTACATTTTCCTTTAAGGTGTGGCAGAATGTGTCTTGGCTCTTGGATTTGAGAAGATGGAGAAGGGAGGCCTTGGAATAAAAGTGAGTGTTATTTTGGCATAATTACTAAATGAGGTAATATAACCCAAAAGTTGAAAGGTGATACTTGTATGTATGCATAGATCTTGGTATTTTAGAATAGTTAAGAGTCTTAGAGATAATTTTGTTCAAACTGTTTATTTTACCAGTGATGAAATTGATGTTCAAAGATACGAGATTGTTGAATTTGAAGTTGACTTACCTATTTAATTTGAAAGCCATTCATTTATTCATTTTTTTGATGAATGAATTACATTCAATAAAGAATTTCATTCAACAAATGAAGAGAGTTAATAAAATATGGGACTTCTAATTCTGGTAACGGCAAGCCAAGTTTTTTGAGCCAGTTCTCTCACTGATGACAAATATTTGGATAGAATATGAAAAAAGAAATCCTAAAGGTATTGAAGAACTAGCAAGAGAGAAGAACTGCAGGTGAATGCCAGAGAATTAACATCAGCATTTGCAACTACTTTTGCCTTAAAGGCCTTTGCTGATCAGGCAGCTGTGAACCACAATTTTGATGCCCCACCCCCACCAGAATGAAAGGTGAAGTAGTCAAAGCTCAGGCCTTCCCAAGATCGGAAGTTTAATATCCACATTAAATTTGTACTATGTAGGGGTAAACTCTTTGGATAGGACAAACCTGCAGTAAAATTCCCTGCTTCCATGAGATGATAGGGAGAGTTACCATGGCATCCAGTGAAACAGGGGAGAAAAAAAGAGAAAGAATAAAAACTCAGTAAAACTTTTCATTGAGTTAATAAATCACAGACTAGCCTTCGTGGGATTGCTGCCAACATTCTCATCATGTGGGTGATCCAGGAAACCTCAAACCATGAATTGAATCTAAATTGGTTTCAGAATGGTAGTAACCTAGACAAATTTTCTTCTGGAGAAAAGTACCCTCCTTCCAGGCTTTGAGAACCCTTCAAATAAAATTTCAAGGACACACAGTTAAAGACAACCAAGTATTAAAGAAACAAGGCACCACAATTGAGAACTAAAAGAAAGAAGAAACAGTAAAAAATAATCTTTGAAGACCACCAAAACTAGATTTATTGGTTGCAGATTTAACCATGTTTGTTATGTTTAGAGAAATAAAATACAGCTTGGAAACCTCTTTAGTATATAGGAAACTACAAAAAAGAACATTATTGGCATGAAAAAAATTAAATGGAATTTATGGAAAAGAAAAATGAAATAAATAAAATTAAAAATTCACTCATGCCTGTAATCCCAGCACTTTGGGAGGCTGAGATGGGCAGATCACTTGAGGCCAGAAGTTCGAGACTAGCCTGACCAACATGACAAAACCCGTCTCTATTAAAAATATGAAAATTAGCTGGGTGTGGTGGTGTGTGCCTGTAATCCCAGATACTCAGGAGGCTGAGACAGGAGAATCACTTGAGCTCAGGAGGTGGAGGTTGCAATGAACCAAGATCGCGCCATTGGCCTCCAGCCTGGGCAACAGAAAAACAAAGAAAATGAGTTGAAGATAAATTTCTTACTGTTATCTAAGATTATACTATTACGTAACTCATGTGATCGAACTGATCCCATTTTCTCTGTTGAAACATTAAAGGACCTCTACCCTAAATTAACTTAAATACATGTGATAATATTTTTTAGAAACCACAGAAGTGGCACTTAATAGGCATTCAAATCAATGAATTGCTTCCCTTTTTAGAGAATACCTTTAAAAATGGTAGAAGATAGGTTGGATCTTAAAGATAATTTAGAAGTGGGTAAGGGGAAATAAGCTCTTCCTAGATGTCAGGGAAAGCATCATGAAGCTAGTCATGGGTGTTTGAATAAATATGATATATTTTTAAAAAACTGTCTGGATTAGCGTGGCAACTGGAGAAAACTGAGAAATAAGGTTGGTTAAGTGAATATGTAATGTTTATGACACATGAAAAATATGTTTGTTTTCAGCAGTGAATGGTAGGTACCTTGAACTTTTATTTGAAAATTATTAGGCTGGGCACGGTGGCTCAAGCCTGTAATCCCAGCACTTTGGGAGGCCGAGGCGGGTGGATCACGAGGTCAAGAGATCGAGACCATCCTGGTCAACATGGTGAAACCTCGTCTCTACTAAAAATACAAAACATTAGCTGGGCATGGTGGCGCGTGCCTGTAATCCCAGCTACTCAGGAGGCTGAGGCAGGAGAATTGCCTGAACCCAGGAGGCGGAGGTTGCGGTGAGCCGAGATCGCGCCATTGCACTCCAGCCTAGGTAACAAGAGCGAAACTCCGTCTCAAAAAAAAAAAAAAAAAAAAAAGAAAATTATTAAAAATTATAAAATAGTAAAATTCATCCACAATCCTATAATATAATTAAAAAGAAATGTATATAAATTAAAAGTCTTTCCTTCTGCCTATTTAATCTTCTCCCTCAGTGGTAACCAATGTTAATAATTAAGTATCTGTATTTCCCGCCTTTTTCCCAAATTAACACAGAAATATGTAACTAAGCATTCATATGCATATGCCTACATACATGTTAAAAAACTTTAGTAAGTTTACTGCCTGGGGTACCCCTCTTGCTGATACCTCCAGGTACAAAACAATTCAATTGTTTTTTTTCTTTTTTTTCAAAATAAAACCTCAGCTAGCTCTGCCAAACAAAACAAAACAAAACAAAACAAAACAAAACATCTTTCTAAAGATATAGGGAAGGTTAATGATATTTTACATGTTTTTCAATTAACAGTTAAACATCTTTCCTGGTTAGAACATATTGATATGCAGTGAACCATGATTGCGCCACTGCACCCCAACCTGGGCAACAGAGGAAAATTTAATTTTAACCAAGTCCAGCTTTTCAATTATTTCTTTTATGAATTGTGCCTTTGGTGGTGTATCTAAAAAGTCAATGCCAGACCCACGGTCATCTAGGTTTTCTGCCACATGCGTTTTACATTTAGGTTCACGATCTATTCTGAGTTAATTTTTGTGAAGGGTGTAAGGTCTGTGTCTAGATTCATTATTTTCATGTGGATGTCTAGTTGTCCCAGCACCAGTTACTGAAAAGATTACCTTTATTTTTTTTTTATTTTTTTTTTATTTTTTTTATTTTATTTTATTTTTTTTTTTGAGACGGAGTTTCACTCTTGTTACCCAGGCTGGAGTGCAATGGCACGATCTCGGCTCACCGCAACCTCCGCCTCCTGGGTTCAGGCAATTCTCCTGCCTCAGCCTCCTGAGTAGCTGGGATTACAGGCACGCGCCACCATGCCCAGCTAATTTTTTGTATTTTTAGTAGAGACGGGGTTTCACCATGTTGACCAGGATGGTCTCGATCTCTTGACCTCGTGATCCACCCGCCTCGGCCTCCCAAAGTGCTGGGATTACAGGCTTGAGCCACCGCGCCCGGCAGATTACCTTTATTATATTGCCTTTGCTTCTTTGTCTAAGATCAGTCGGCTCACCGCAACCTCCGCCTCCTGGGTTCAGGCAATTCTCCTGCCTCAGCCTCCTGAGTAGCTGGGCTTACCGGCACGCGCCACCATACCCAGCTAATTTTTTTGTATTTTTAGTAGAGACGGGGTTTCACCATGTTGACCAGGATGGTCTCGATCTCTTGATCTCGTGATCCACCCGCCTCGGCCTCCCAAAGTGCTGGGATTACAGGCTTGAGCCACCGCGCCCGGCCTATGTGGGTCTATTTCTAAACTCTTTATTCTGTTCCATTGATTTATTTGTCTGGATTTTTTGTCAATACCCATACTGTCTTAATTACTGTAGTTTTAAGTAAGGCTTGAAATTGAGTAGTGTCAGTCCTTCTGTTGAATTTTTTCACAAGCTTTTTTTTTTGAGACAGTGTTTGTTACCCATACTGGAGTGCAGTGGCACGATCTCCACTCACTGCAACCTCTGCCTCCCTGGTTCAAGCGATTCTCCTTTCTCAGCCTCTAAAGCAAGCGTCCCCAAACTACGGCCCGCTGGCCGCATGCGGCCCCCTGAGGCCATTTATCCGGCCCCCTCCACCCCCCGCTCCGCTCCGCACTTCAGGAAGGGGCATCTTTTTTGTTGGTGATCAGTGAGAGGAGCACAGTATGTGGCGGCCCTCCAACGGTCTGAGGGACAGTGAACTGGCCTCCTGTGTAAAAAGTTTGGGGACGCCTGCTCTAAAGTAACTGGGATTACAGGCACCCACTACAATGCCCAGCTAATTTTTGTAGTTTTAGTAGAGACGGGGTTTTCACCATGTTGACCAGGCTGGTCTTGAACTCCTGACCTCAGGTGATCCACTTGCCTGGGCCTCCCAAAGTGCTGGGATTACAGGTGTGAGCCACCACACCCTGCCATGATGTTGGTAATTTTTATGTTCTCTGTTTTTCCATGGTCATCTTTTGTCAGAGTGATCATGGAAAAAGAAAGTTTACAATAAAAGGAACAGCTTTGTTTTCATTGATTTTCTATATATTCCTTTTTTTTTTTTTTTTTATTTGCAAATCATATATTTGATGAAAGACTTGAGTCAATAATATACAGGTTGAGTATTCCTTCTCCAAAATGCCTGTGACCAAAGTGTTTCAGATTTCAGATTTACTTGGATTTTGTAACATATGTTTTCTACGTACAAGCTGAGCATCCCAAATCTGAAAATCTGAAATCTGAAATGCTCCAACAAACATTTCCTTTGAATGTCACGTTGGTGCTTAAAAAGTTTCGGAATTTTGAGCATTTCAAATTTCAAATTTTCGGGTTTGGAATGTATAACCTATAGATAAAGAACTCTTACAACTCAATAATTACAGGAAAAACAACTAAATTAAAACATGGACAAAAATTATGAATAGATATTTCACTAAAGACATATGAATGGCTAATAAAAACTATAATAGATACTTAACATCATTATTTATTAAGGGAGCGTATATTAACACACAGTGAGATACCATAACACTTGTATCACAATGGCTATAATTTTAAAAAACTGGAAAAAGAACAAGTGTTTGTGAGGACATGGAGAAACTGTAACCCTCATGTATTTC